CCCCCCCCCCCCCCCCCCCCCCGAACTGGCTGTCTCATCTCAGCTATGGGTGGCTGTCTACCTCCTCCCTGCCTCTCCTTCTCCTCCTCCCAGCGCCATGCAGTCAATTAGAAAAATTCCAGGATCCGACTGCAGCTGGGCCATCTCCACACCCAGGCGGTGATACCGCAGAAGCGCCCCGCCCCGCAAAGGCCGCCATCTTGAAGCCGAGGAGGAATAAACACCGCAACTTGATGTTCCTCCAGCTCCATCGTCTTTCTTCGCCCGCCTTTTCTTCCGCCGCCAACCTGCAGCTCTGGGATCAAGGAATACGAAAGGTAAAGGAAGGACCTTTTTTTCTTCTGGGGATGCGCTCCCTGTAGGCTGTTTGCTCTCCATAGACCCGATCCAAGACGACGTCAGGTTGGTGTCCAAGGGAGTCACCCGATAATCGTCTTCTCCCGGTAGCCCATGCTGTGCAACGCTCACACACACCCTCTCCATACCCCATCACATCACTTCTCACGGTTCATGCGGGAGTCCGCCTCATCGACTGCAGTCACACCACCATGTCCCCTTCTTAAGAGTGTGCAGCTGCTGTGCTCGGGACACCTGCTGAGACAGCCACCAGTCCTGCGTTAGGGCTGCACACAGTCAGCCCAGGACCTTTTGGCGGCCCCTGTCATCCTCGAGTGCACCAACGCCTGTTGCAGCTGTCAACGCAGCCTGGAGGGCTCCGCCTTTTCCGCCAGACCTACACGTGCCGTCGGGCACAAGCGTCCTGCAGGTCTGTCACCAGCACGGTTTTCTATTGTTCCACCACCCGCTTCTCCCATCCGAGCCCATGACACCTGCTCCCCGGTCTTCCTAGGCCTTCCCTCTCGGGATCCTTCCACTTCAGTTAGTCGGGAACCGGGCGGCCGGGAAAATAGCAAATAAATCATCCATGTATGTACTCGGGATGCAGGCGTGCGATCCCGGAAGGGTCGGGCAGGGTCCAACATATCCCCGCCAATACTGGCCGCCCGCAGATGCAGAGGGGCTGTGTTGGTGTCATCCGAGGCGTCATTTGCGCGACAGGGCGAAAAGTGAGGCAGCAACAGAGGCATTTGATTACTTTGTCCTGCAGCTGCCATTCGCTCCAACATTCCCGCAACTACTCCCCGAATCCAACCTAAGCGTGGCTGGGCACGAATACCCGCCATATGCGCCCTTTCCTGGCCGTAGATGGGGTCTCTCTGTGCACACCGCCACCCCACTCAGGTGGCAGTCCATCCAAAATGTCTGCAGGATGCCCGGATGCCCATCTTTGGTATATCGTCATCGTCCATTTTCTCGAACTGTTCCATCGCTTCGGTGGGGCCTTCCTTGTGCACCGGTGGCTTGGCACGCTCGCTGTCTGCCACTTTTTTTTCCCCTTCCTTCTAGATCCATCCGACTCCTTCGGAACTCATGTGGTCCCACCACAAACGCTTCCCTCGCTTTTGCCGCTATCTCTGGATGCAAGGGAAAGAAGGGCAGGAAGGTGCATGAGAGTGGATGCTGGAAATGAACTCTACTCGGGAGATGTGCTTAGTCCCAAGGCAAGCGCATCGCTAGGGACTATTGAGAGGTGACAAGGGAAAAGGGGCAGGGCGTGGGCCAGGTTGAAATGGCCCACGATAAGACACTTGAAAGCGTCTTGGATCCGTTGTTGAACGCCCAATGTTTTGGTTGTAAAAACAGCGAAAGCGCAAAGAACGACCCAAGAGCCGAGCATGACGCTAGCATTCGTCCGCGATGTTGTATCGGGGAGTCCAGCCATGCGGCCCGGCCTTTCACCAGTTCATATAGTGGATGGAGAGGGTAGGATATGAGAGTGAGGTCGAAAACGCAAAGAGGGTGAAAAGAACAGTCAAAGAAAAAAGGCTAAACCGCTCAAAAACGCAAACTCAAGCCCTTGCGGTTTCAGTGGCCGTGGTAATCTGCTTAGAGAATGTCCCACGAGTCCTCGGCAGCATGGCAGAATTTGCTGCAGGCAACACTGGCCGACAGGCTGTAGTTGCTGATCCCGATCTTCTCGTCCACCCACTCGTCGGCAAAATTGTCCTCGCCCTTGGCCATGGCGCCGACAAAGACGCAGATGCTCTCGTCGGGGCCTAGGCGGTCGATGTAGTCCCGCACGCGCACTACGGGGGCATCGAAGCTCAGCGTGACCTTGCGGCAGTTGGGCGGCAGGTGGTCCGTGATGGGGTTCTGGATCACGCGGAGGAGCTTCTCCTGCGAGTTAGTAGATCGAATGGCCAGGCGGTGCAGCAGCTGCACCATGAGACCGGCGAAGCGCTTGAAGGTGCGCGGTATGCGGACCGAGGGCGAGATCTCGATCAGGACGCCCTTGGCGGTTTGGATGTAGATCTGGAGCTTGCCAGCTTTGTTGATGGGCGAGTCTAGCAGCGTGAGCAGGCACTACGGAAAAAGGGGGTGCGAAAGGCCAGCCGGCGGAGGGTGTAGCAGAGGTTTGGGTCAGCCTGTCTCGTCTTTTATCACTTTGTAGCGGTACTTTTTGTCTTCCTGTCCTGGCCCCTTGCCCAACGGACATGAACTCTCTCAACAAGCAAGCGTGCAGTTCGCAGTAAGCATGTTGAATGCAAACATGGAGAGGCTGGCAGACCTGGTGAGTGATGTCGGGGCGGGCGTCGCTGATGTCGCGATTCATCTTCCGCATGACACCGATATGCTCGTCGCTGTTGAGCAGCGAGTACTTCTCCTCGCGCTGGACGCCCAGGCGGCTAGGTGCCGACGAGTGCGAGGCCTTGTAGGTCTCGAGGCTGGCATTGGCCAAAACGACGATGAGTCGCTTGGAGTCCTTGTCCGACGCAGGAATGGCCTGGTGCTGCTCGGCGACTAGCTGGGGCAGCGCAGGGGGAGGCAGCGATTGCGTTCCTGCCATGGCGACAAACTGGTCAGTCGCCTCTGGATATTGCCCCTGGCAGCCGTTTGTTCGTTCTGAGTGGCCGCTCCGCAACGGTCGGACCTGGCGGGATCTCGACTAGTGTCGGAATAGTGGAGATGGTATGATAGTGTGATATGTTGCAGAAGCTAAGGAGGAAAATGTGGCGGCAAATGGGAAGAGGTGAATAAATATGGGGGCTGCAGTGTCGGGCTTCTTTTTCTCGTGCCCTCTTTCCGTTTATGCTTGGGGCCCTTGTACTCAATTGGGGTGCTTCTTTCTCGTTGGCGTGGGGCTTTCTTAGAGCATTGTGGAGGAAAAAGAGAACACACGAGACAGAGAAAAGCAAACGCAAGAAAAAACTTTGACTGCTGATGCAAACGCCAGCAGCCAAGGGTAAGGAGGACACGCCATGCCAACGGGTCGACTTACGTGGCCGCTTCCCAGCACGGTATTCTGGCGAAGACATTTTGCGATTTGCGTTTCGGGCGCGGCAGCTGAACTTGCGCGCCTGCTGCGGCCAGCCGGGAGTGCAGACGGGCAATGGTCAATCAAGGGCAATGCGCTAAATGCAGGGCAATAAAAGCTTGTGCCCAAGCACGGGTCGCGGCGCTGGGAAATAATATGGATCTTGGGGAGCTCGGAGCGTATGACGGTTGTGGATGGTAAATGGGGAAGGGGCAGGAATCTGGAGCGTTAAGTAATCGTGAGGAGGAAAAGGGAGGAAAAGAAAAAAAGAGAAAAAAAAAAGGGGCAGCGAGAGAGGATATGCTGTACAGCTGTTGAGAATGACAGATACGAGTGAGTAATGGTTGAGAGTGGACATGGATTGCGGCGTGGGAAATGGAAGAACTTGGCTTAGCCGAACTAGAGGTACGCCCAAAGGTGTCTGCTCCACCACTGCCAGCCAAGCTGGGCGACAGGCTGAGAAGGTCACCGCCTAAGATTTTCAGCCCAAATTTCCGAAGTGAATCCAGTTCCCTTTGTATCTACACCTAGGCTTCACTTCACCGTCTTCTTTCGCAGTAGCTGGGTGACGGTTTTGCTTCGGGTTGCCTTGTTTGGTACCTGACTTAAATTCAAATCGAGGTAAATTTTGTTCAGGTGGGGTTGTCCCAGTGGGGCTTCACCGGTCTTCATCTCATCGCCACAGCTCTGGCCTCTTGGCCTGGTCGTGCAAGCCACCGGTTGCGGTCGTTTGCCCATACGCCCACGCGGCCATCAAGAGCAGACCTTCTCGGTGTGTCAACGGCCGGCAGATCAAACTCGACCAGCTGCCCAGTCGGTTGGTCCGCCTGCGCCTCTTATTCCCTTGCGCTACCAGGCACGTGTCTCCTGAAGTTTGAGCCCAATCGGGTGTCTGTCAGTCATCAACTGCCCGCGTGCTCTGATGCTCCTGTCGGGTTCCACGGACGTAGTCAACGCAGCCGACAGCTCCGACATGCTGTCGCACAGCCAGCGTTTGTTCCAGGCACGCGCTGGCCAATATCCGCTCAAATTATGACACGGACCTGTTTCGAGCAAACTCGCCGACCCAATGGCAGTTCTATTCGCCATCGATACCTCTCTGGACCCCTTCCTGCGTGTCTAGATGTCTTGTATCTCCTCTGGGCTCAAACAGGTGGCAGCCGGCCCGAAGATAGAAAGGCCAGCTCGTGTACCCAGTGCAATTCGCCCTCGTAGAAAGATCCCGTTACTTTCATGGTGTCATTCTTACTTTCTAGCTCCTATCGCACTGCCGCTTGACCCGGATAGCGGATAGGCCAGTGGCCAGAGCAGGAGCGCTTGATACAGAGCATTCTTCTATTCATTGTGGCCACAATTCACCACAGCGTGAATGGTGAAGAATGAGACACGAGAGGTAAGCATGTGGCGCCGTCGAGCTTAGCCTTTATACCCACGTTTGAAGATTCCGCGTGAATGTGGGTTGTGCGCTATCGCGGCGCCGTTGCCACTTCGAATTACTTGTCTGGCAGGTCTCACATCCGGAATCGGAATAGAGGAGACCGTTTGGCAGAAGTTTATGCCAAGGCCGGTTCCTGCTCCAGCCGTGACCGGCCAATTAGCCGCGCCGTTGCGCCTTTCTCCGATTCCCTCGCTCGCCCGAACATCCTCCACGGCCTGATGGTGATTATGCCTGCGGCCCGTCGTCTTGGCCATGCGACAGGCTGCCCGTCATGTGTGGTTTCAACGGTACCATGCGCTGACGGGATCGCCAGCATCCTCTGCAGCAACCCGCCCGGCTGCTCGCAGCGTCTCTCCCCTACACACGTTGTCTTTCCCTCTTGCTCGAGATCGTTACCTCTTTGCCACCTTCCATTATGCCGACCTGTCGCCCGCCGGCGGGAACGTATGGCGCTTCATGGATTCCCCGTGCCACGCCCGGACACTCCTCGAAGGTGCTCTTGATATAATACCCCGTGTCCGAATCTTTGTTTTTATCTTTCCACCCTTTAGGCCTCCTCATCCCCTCTCCTTTCTCGCCTTTGTCAGTTCGCTAGTTCATCTTGCCTTGCGAGTCCAAAGGAGAAGATCACGTTGACCGTGCTTCTGGCCTTACGTTCCTTACCCCTATTTAATAAGTCACTCTTTTACATAAGCCTTGCGTTTGTTCTTCGATTCGGCCTTGCCAACATCCCGCTGGTAATCGGGCAAAATGGTGTCTCAAAGACTGATATGGGCTCTGGCCCTCTTCTCGTCCGCTGCTCTGGCCCAGAATAACCAGGGCAACAACAACAACAACAACAACAACAACAACGGCCAGCAAAACCAGGGCCAGAACAACAACAACAACCAGAACCAGGGTGATGCCACTCAGCTCGCGCCCAACGCCATCCAGACTGGGTCTTTCTTCGACGGACAGCAGGCTCTGGGAGCCAGCGATGAGCAGGTCGAGTCCGAGATCTCGCAGAACAACTTCATCAACGTATGCGCCGGGAAGACGCTCACCAACGGGCTGCAGCTGATCGACGGGTCTTGCAATGGCATTCGTAAGTATAGTCATGAATACCTTCCTAGATGGGCAAAAGGCACCACTAACTAGCTCGAACGCTATAGCCATGGGTGATATCCCGTCCAAGGAGCGTATGATCTCGAGCATCATCATCAACCCCAAGTCCGGAGAAGTCATCCAGGAGGGCACCGACTTCTCGATCCAGGTCCAGACCATCAACCTCCAAGCCGGAGCCTTCACCAACGCCGTGGCGACCTACTACTCTGCCCCGCAGAGACTCAACGGTGGTGGCCAGATCATCGGACATACCCACATCACCGTTCAGGACCTGGGTCGTGGGCTCAACCCTACCACGCCCCCCGACCCAACCCAGTTTGTATTCTTCAAGGGCATCAACGACGCTGGCAACGGTAACGGCCTGTTGGCCGCTGACGTCGAGGGGGGTCTCCCTGCTGGCAACTACCGCGTCTGCACTCTCACGTCTGGCTCCAACCACCAGCCCGTCATCATGCCCGTGGCCCAGCGTGGCGCGCAGGATGACTGTACCAAGTTTGCCGTTAGCGCCAACGCTGCAGCTGCGAACGGGAACAACCAGCAAAACCAGGGGCAAAACAACAACCAGGGCCAAGGGCAGAACAACCAGCAAAACCAAGGTCAGGGGCAGAATAATAATCAGGGACAAAACAACGGCCAGGGCCAGAACAACGGCCAGGGCCAGAACAACGGCCAGGGCCAAAACAACGGCCAGGGCCAGAACAACGGCCAGGGCCAGAACAATGGCCAGGGCCAGAACAACCAGCAGAACAATGGGCAAAACAACAACAACAACAATAACAACCAGCAGCAGCAGCAGCAGCAGCAGCAGCAGCAGCAACAACAACAACAGCAGCAGCAACAGCAAGAGCAACAGCGCCAGCAGCAGCAACAGCAACAACAGCAGCAACAACAACAACAGCAACGTCAGCAACAGCGACAACAGCAGCAGCAACGTCAGCAACAGGGAAATCAGCGCCTCGTCCGCCGCGTCATCTCTCCTTGAACACGGCAGGCCCTGTAATCGCTGGTGCAGCTATTGGCCGTCCGCTGGAACTAGCACAATATGTTTGCTCTGTTCGTTTTTGCGAGATATAGTGAAGCTTTGGGGTTGCTCCGGTTCTACTGTGCTATCCGAGTACGCACCCTCCTGTCTACGAAAGCTTTGGGGGAGCACCACACATCTAACCGAATTTAACGGTGTATATAGAGTCTTCTCTCAGCGAGGCCGGGCTTCAACTGCTCTTGTTTTGTTTTCATTTACCACCAAATTGACTACATGGAATGCCGACATTATTCTGGGTGACCACTGATGGGAGAGCTGGACACACAGGCATAGAGAGGGATATCGAGAAGATGGATGGTTCTCGACTGGATTGGATATTGGTATTGTAATTTTCCACATCAATTTTGAGATATACTGTGCATGAGCTGATGGAGCAGGTCTTGCCATCATTGCTTACAATCATTGCCTCCCACAGTGTATCACCGGAAAAGCTGGCCTGGGTAGAGAGTGCCGTGGATAGAATAATAGGGGTAAGCGGGTAAATAGCGAGGTTGGCAGAACCGCACACGGCTCGCATGGTTTGATCTCCAGTATCAGGATAAAATAGCCTGTTCTCGGAATTCCAGCCGCAGACGGCACGAATGTTTTGAAGATTGAATAGGGACTTAGAGGCAGGTAACCTAGGTACTTTTTTGTCTTCAAAAAAAAAAGCCTAGGAATTGCTTCAATCCCCCTTGATTTTCGCTTGGCCAATCAGAGACTCTCCGACGTGGAGGTACCGGGTGGGTCCCAATTGAGCTTCGACGACGCTCTCGGAGCAAAAATTAGCAGCAGCAGCACCAGCCTTGCGACGACGACGACCAGATAGCGCACCACGCCGCCTCCCGCTTACCACCGACGACACGCCTCCCTCCCCTGGTCGGACCAGCGCAAAGAGCCCGGCAGGGCCAAGGACGACAAATAAAACGAGGGCCGTTCGAGCAAACCAAAGGAGACGGCACAGACCCCCCGGGGTGCATACCCCACTTCACAAGCCGCCATGTCGACGCCGATGCTGGCCGCGGCGAAGCGCGGCTTCCGCGAGGTCCAGGGCGTCGTCGTGTCGGCCGGCCTGATGGACCGCACCGTCAAGGTGCGCGTCGGCGGGCGCGTGTGGAATGACCAAGTCAAGAAGGCAAGTTAGAAAAAAAACCCCCCCGAAAAAAAAAAAACCAAGCCCTCCTATCTAGATCAAAAAGAAGGACCATACAACCAAGCTCACACTAACACCTCCCCTTCCCCCCCAAAAACAGCACTTCAAGCGCCCCGAAACCCACCTCGTCCACGACCCCAACAACTCCCTCGTCACGGGCGACGTCATCTCGATGCAGCCCGGCTGGCGCTGCTCGCGGCACAAGCGCCACGTCGTGACGCAGATCGTCGCGGCCGCCGGCCGGCCCGCCGAGGAGCGGCCCCCCGTGCCGTCCATCGCTGACCGCGTGGCCGAGGCCGAGGCCAAGCGCGCCGCCAAGCTCGAGCGTCGTTCGGTCCGCGACGCCGAGGCCGAAAAGGCCCGCCTAGCCGAGAAGGAGGAGAAGAAGCGCCTCAAGAGGGCCAGGCTGGCGAGGGCTGAGGCGGCCTACAGGCCGCCGTCAGCGCCGGCGAGGGCAGGGGCGGCACCGGCACCGGCAGCAGAGGCGCCCTCATCAGAGGTGTCCGCATAAACCTCATTGTTATTTGCTCAGCACCATGTTCCTCCCTCGCAACACTTGACAGGGAGTGAGAACGTTTCTCCACCTTCATGTGCCCGCCCGGGCTTCGACGATTTGTCGGGAAGGGGTCGTGGCAGTATGGACATGCATGGATCATGATATCAAAGGAATAAGAGACGCAAGCAAACGACCCAATACCCACCACTCGTTGGTGTACTAACTAGCCTGATGCTGGGTTGAGGCCTAGATGGTGATCGGCTGTAGTATCCCGGCTGTAAGATATACGTTCTGTCTCTTTAAATCACCCCAAAATGGCCGTGTATCCAAGCTACCACCGCAGCCATCCGGCACGGGTCGCGCTTGTTTCGCCATAGGCACGCTCGCGCCTTGATCTAGATCGTACCATACCAACTCCAACCTTTTTGGACAAAAAAAAAAAAACGGAATTCCGAGGTCCGAGGGGTATCACTTCGTTCGGCAGAAGTCCTAGTGTTACCGTATATATATATTTACACATAGTTTCTTCCGTTATACACATGCATACCCGAAACTGGCCCGTCTTGGCTCTGTTTGCCGTTCTGTCTGATTTTGAATATCCGGTCACGTATGATGCGACGCGTTAGTGATGCCGTGATGTCACAGGCGGCCCATAGCTACCCGATCCTCTCGCCAAACTGCTTGGCCCAGTCCTCAAACTGTTTGAGGCTGTCCTGGTTCACGCTTGGCCGCACCGTCTTGAGGCAGGCAACAAAGTCCGACATGTCAATCGGCCGGATCTCGTCCGGCGTCATGTGTAGAACCGCCTCACCGTGTGATCTCAGGGGACCGTATGACGCCTGTCGCGCAAGATGCGTCAGGTCCGACCCCGAATAGCCTATTTCCTGGTCAGATCCTGGAACGAGAATACACCATGCACCAACAGCGGACTGCTATAGGGGCTCTATCGGGTACACCTACCATCCGTCAGCCCTACGAGCTCCTCAATATCGGTGTAACTCAGGCAATGCTTTAGTTCCGACTCGAGAAGTGTCCGAAGCTGCACGCCCCGCGTTTCCGCCTCAGGCAGCGGGATATACTGTCGGCGGGCGAACCTGCGCGTTGCCGCATCATCCAGGTCCCACGGGCGGTTGGTCGCGGCCAGCACCAGCACCCTGTTGTCGCTCTGTCCATTCGTTTTGCCAATGGTGGATTTCTCCAGGTTGCTCCACTGGATAAGGAACTCCGTCTTGAGTCGTCGGCTGGCCTCGTGCTCGCTGGAGCTCGACCTCTGGGAGAGGACCGAGTCGACCTCGTCGATGAAGATGATGCTGGGAGCGAGCAGCCTAGCCACGGTGAAGAGAGCGCGCACATGTTTCTCCGACTCGCCAAGATACTTGCTGTTTAGGGTGCTGGCTGTGATGGCAACAAACGTCGACTGGGACTCGGTGGCAATGGCGCGGGCGAGCATGGTTTTGCCTGTGCCAGGTGGTCCAAAGAGCAGGATCCCTTTTGGGGGCTCGCGGAGACCCCTGAACAGGTCAGGGCGCAGAAATGGATAAACCACAGCCTCCTTCAGGGCGTTCTTGGCCTCCTCCAGCCCTGCTATAGACCCCCAGTGCACCACGTCCTTCCTGGGATCGATCTCGTCCAATATTTGCGTCGCGGTGTGCTTCTCGACACCAGGCGGCAGGTTCTGCAGTACCCACTCCCGTCTGGTGGCCCAAGCCGATAACGCTGTCTCTTCGAGGGTGTTTTCGTTATCTTCATGCTCCAGCGGGGGTGAGTCCTTTGAATCCCAGCTGTCGATGGGGTCCTGGGCGCCGTCGTTTGCGGCCACCTCTGCCGTAAGAGGCTCGTGCCTCAGAAGCCTCTCATGTCTTGAATCGCCAGACAGCGTCCTATCGATGCTTCTTCGGTTCTCTGGATCTTGTGGCCGCAAGCTTCCCACAGGCCGCCTGCTGGGGCGTGCCCGTGGGCTCCCAGCGTCGGGGGCGGCTTCCACGCCTCTATTCGGTTGATGCCGGCGCCGGGTGGGGCTGTCACTGGACGAGCTCCGATTATGCCGAGCACCTGGTGGCCTATCTCTCGACCCAGGGACTTCTATCTTCCCTGAAGTATTTGTGACCTTCCTTGAAGCCGCCGTGGCAGCGCTAGGAGACAGCGACGGCAGCGGATCCCCGCTCCTCGCGTTATCTCTGGGAACGAGCCGACGGGTATGGCGATCATAACGGAGGCTGGATTGCTCAGGTGCGGGGTTGGGCGCTCGAGGAGCAGGTGGTAGTACGCTCGAGGAGGCTTCCCCAACACTGGGGACCCGCTCCGTCAACCTGGAGTCACGGGCGATCCATGCCGCGGCGGCAGCCTTGTCGGCCCCTGGAGCAGTGGGCACCGCGTCCCTGAGCCGGAAGCCGGGCTTTCCAGTTCTAAGCGTCTTCCTGAACTTGTGCGTCGCTGGGCTCGCCGACCTGTCCGCCCTTCGGTCCGAAGATGGCGAGGCTAGTATAGGAACAGAGGATGAAGATGCAGCAGCGTCGAGGTACGGCTGAGACCTGCTAGAGTCGGAGCTTGATCTGCCGTTCAATACGGCGGCACGCGCAGGCGAGCTGATCCGCCGGGGAGGCAACGATGGGCGTAATGGTAATGGAGGAGGGTCTAGGCATTTCGACGAGTCATCTTCGCAGACAGGCGAAGGGGCTGGTAGGCTCGAGGATGATTCGGCGATGGTGAAGCTTTGCAGCGATAAACGCAGGCCCTCGTGGAGATCAAGATGCTCCTGTGCCGTCAGCTCGAGCTCGTGCAGGCCCTTGATGGCGTCCTGGCCCGTCTCGGTCTGGAAGGCATGAGAAGGGGGCACGCGGCGCCTGAAGCTGCGTATTTTCTCGACGACGGTGTTCCAAAGTCGATCGGCGGCAGCGATTTCATCCTGTCCGCGTGCAGGCGGTTAGTTGGTGCCCGAGACGTACCGAGATGGTTTGATGGCTGTCACCTTTTCTTCTAGCGCGATGGCGACTTTGCAATCGTCAAAACATTGATCGTAAGTTGATGTCAGCCGCGCAGTCAAGGGCTTGTTGACATCCATCGTCGGAGCCACATTACAGCCTCTTTGTTCGTGCTCTCGGATCCGATGAGCGCCAAAGGCTCCGTTGGCGGCGGGTTCGATGAGCTGACCAAGCGCCAGGCCGTCTAACACAGGTCTCTGGGGCTGCTGATGTCTGTGTATTTGGTGAGTGTCGGCTCCTTCCACGCCAGTGATTCTGCGCTGTCAAGAGCCGTGCTCCCAAATGGCATGAAGTGACGTAACTGAACGGAGCGTGGTGGGGTGGAAGGCTGGACGCTGGGGGCAGGGTTAGGGTATTCTCTGCGGCTTCCAAGCGCCCAGACGGGAAGGGTGAAGGCCAAAAGGAATTACCAAAAATATATAATTAAGGCGATACACGCACCCGTTCTATTCAAACCCTTACGACAGTAGCACCCGGATCTCTCCCGTCGTCCGCGGGAACACGGAACGAAGATTCTGCACGCCATCATTGTCATCGTCATCTTCGTCCCCTGCACGACCTTCGGCCAAGCGCTCCTGCTCCGCCAGCTCGTCGGCCCAGATGAGCATATCCTCGACGTGCTCAAAATCGACGCAGAATCGCTCGGCGGCATCCTCGGTGATTCTGCGCGCAAGCCCCGAATCTCGGAGGCGCTTGATATTCTCGAGCGCGTCCAATAGGGCCGACGGCAGGAAGTCGTCCAGGACCTGACTGGCCTGCAGCAGAGCCGATGGTGAGAGCAGCTCCAGTGACTTGATCTTTTTAACATCCTCGGGCTGGTTGCTCAGAGGCCGCAGTGCTTCAAACACCGCATCGAGCCCAGACTCATCCCGCAAGAACCGGTACTGCCACTCCGTCAGCCGAATGCTTTCCTCTGAAACCTCCGACTGTAGCTGCTCCACCCGCCCGCGCGTGAAGTCAAACGGAGCCAGCGCGCTCTTGGTGGTCAGCAGGCAGTTGATGAGAAACACGGCGTTGGCAGGCGCCACCATTCCCTTTGCGAGGCCCCTGCATCCGGTAACAAAGGGGTCGAGAGCTTCGGCCAAAATAGGTTGGAAGTCGGCTTCGCGGTCTGCCGAGGCCGTCAAGGACGTGTCGTATGTCTTCATGATGGCATTTAGCTGCTGCAGCGATGACTGCAGAAAGTCGGGAGGCGCGAGGTCAGTGGGCACGTGCTGAAAGTCGCCCTGCAGTGTCGCGATGTGGTCACGCATCAGCGACCTGAATTGTCGGAGAGCCTCCAGCTCGAGATTGCGCAGAGATTCAACAAGCACCGACTCCTGGCCGAGGAGCTTGGTGAAGGTGGTGCGATAGAAGTTGAGTAGATTGACAAGCTTGTATGCCAAAATGGTGTCCTCGCTGGCTTGAATGACATGCTCCACCCGCTGCCTAAGGAGGCGAGCAGCGCCCGAGACGTCACGGTCGACAAGCTCATTGAGCGCTTTGACCGGGTCAAACTCGGGCGCCTCCGCGCCATCCTCATCCACGAGGCGCCATACCTCGGTGTCGCGGCCGGACTGGATTCCCCGTGCGATCTCGTCGCCATCCGAGACAAAAAGGACCTCGAGCGCCTCCCGCTCGCTGACGGTAGCAGAGTGGGTCCAGGCGAGCATGTCGCTAACGTAGCGCAAGGGGTCGTGTGCAGTCAGCTCTATGGGCTTGACAGAGTGGTCTACGCCGCCGCCGCTCCTGTTTCCAGTGAGGGCCGTGAAGAAGGCATCCGATAGAACGTGCTCGCGCGCCTCGGCGAAGAAGTCAAGGCAGTTCTGGAAGAGGGTCGGGCGCTCAGCGAGCACCCGTAGCGCCCGGCGTATCGAAGAGCCGATCTGGGGGCTTTCTAGGTTCAGCGTCTTGAATTCGCGTTGAATCCACCTGTACAGTTTCTGGAATGCCAGGTCCAGATTTTTGGAGGTCTGCTCCGTGATCTGGAGTCCCAGCGTTTGGTTTTCAAATCCGAGTAGAATCTCACAGTCCTTGCTGATTCGACGCGCCTTGGAAAGCACATTAAAGAAGCGATCATCGACCGGTTCGGCAGAAAGCGTCAGAACAGCAACCTCGTCCTCGGAGAGCAGGAAGTGGCTCTGGAAGGACCTGAGGAGACGTTGTTTCGTCTCCACCTGGTGCTTTTCGGCCATGAGCGACGAAGCCTCCTGTAACACTGGCGATGTGGCATCGTGAGCCGCCGTGATCTGGCTTTTCATTTCTGAATACCCCTTATTCAGTTTTTCTATTGTGTTGCCTATGCGCCGTAGTTGCTGGATCGAGCAGTTGATCAGTCATTGTTGCAACATAAGAACAGGTTGTGACGCAACGCCTACTCACGTCTGCAACTCGGCCAAACTCGTTGATGATCTGGCCATTGCTGTCGATGACCTCTTTCTGGAGGTCAAGCCGGAGGCGTCGCCGGGTCTCAGCCGAGTTCTGTAGGCCGCGGCTGTCCAGGAGCGCGAGCGCGTCTCGGAACTCGGAGTCCGCGTACGAAGTTGACAGCACCGAGGTGACCTTGGATGAAAGAGGATTCAAGGAGCCTTTAAGGGCAGTTGGGGGACCCGAACTGGCACCCGCACTAGAAGCTGGCGTGGCGGCGGCCATTGTGGACACACTGAGGCTGCTCGTCGCTGCTTGCCCCTGAATTTGCACGCAGAACGACTCCCGAGCGTCACCTCGACCCGAAACTTTTCGGCGGGACAGATGGCATTGGTCTGTGGCGGAGACTGGGGTTAGAGTAACACAGCTTGGGAAGTCAGAGATAAGGGCGTGTTTGGCGGGTTAAATGGTACTGGAAAGTGGTGCTCAATATCGCAACGGCTTACTGCACGCTGAGGCCAGCAAAGCTGAGCTCCATAGGATGGACCAGCCGCAGCTTTCGGAAGCTCCGACGGGCTGTGTGGGGACTATGGGGGTGACATGGGGCTGAAGGCGGCGAACACCAAAGGCCCCAGCAGCGCTCGAATATCCCCGGCACAAACATTCACCGCCCTGGCGTTGCATATCAGCTGATCCCCGACAGGCGCGTCATCTGCCTCTGGACTCCCCACTGACAGCCCCATCCGTCACCACTGGATACCAGGGTGCCTGCCCGTAAAGGCCGACCTCGCTGTGACGGCTTCTGCCTCCATCCCGCACACCCACCAGGCTGAGCCTCGCATCCGTTATTTTCAGGTAGGTTCTTGCCTGCTTGTCGATTGCAGCATTTGTCTGGTGCTCTCCACGAGAACAAGAGCAGAAATTAAACGATAATCAGCGCCCCGATCAAATGCCCACTTAGCTGACTTGGGAAGCACCCTCCATGCCAGCCGACAATGACAACCCTGCGGTGCGCCCGAAGCATATGACCGGCCTGCGTCACTGAGACCCCATCGCGTGCGCAAACGCATCGACTCGACCCTTCCATGTCCGCCCGACGCCCGCACTTTGCCTGCTCAGCACCCACACCCGGCTTTCGTCCAAATCTGTCCCCAGCCTCTCTATTCTGCCGCTCTTGAGCTCCTGGCCGACTTGCTCCCATCCGTGATTTGCCCGTTGGCATTCAAACGACGAGCCATCGCAAGCCTCGACTGCACTTCTGATCATATCTGACGCTTCGAAACCCTCGCAAGGAGCCAACGTCTTGTGATCCAGCTGTCCCTGTCCGCTGTACGCAGCACAAGTATCTAGGCGCGCCAACAAGCCCTGCCATGCAGCCGTCAGTAACTCACCAGCAGACAAAAAGCCGGTAGCAGCCATGGCGTCCAACGCATTCTCGCGGTTGCTTCCACAGGGTCGAGGCCGGTCATTTTACGAAGAGCTGAGGGGCAGAGACTCGGCTGCGGACATCGAGGGGGGCGCTGGCATCGACATCGACCAGGAGAATCTGAACAGGCCATTCCAAGATTATGATCTCGATGAAGCAGAGAGGCTCGCTGCCGAGGGCAGCCGGATTTCCATGTCCCCGAGTGATGCCGGCCCCTCTACCCAACACGGATTCCACGACCGCTCCACCACGGCTGCGTCGCGTTGGATGGCAGGAGTTCCCGAGGACGACGTCGACAACGACGTCCCAGAGTCCCTCCTAGTCGAAGCGCCACAGGGACCTGCGCAAAAGCAACCACCTGCCTCCAACCGGGAGCAGGCACGACAGCCTGCGGTGCCTGGTCCATCGTCAAGAAAGACCAGGGGGCAGTGGGAGGCTACGCAGAACCAGCAGAGGCTACATGTCGACGATGGCCACCCACGGGGCAGCGGTCCGGGAAGGCCCGGCCAGCCAGCTCCTCCTATTACAGCTGATCGCGTCGCCGGTAGTCCTCGAGAGAGGGCCATGTGGAGATGGGTTAATGTCTCCAATCTCGACAAGTTTACTACCAACGTCTACCATTACTATCAAGCCTCGGGGTTCTGGTGCATCATCCTGGACGTCGTGCTCGAGCTTGTGTAAGCCCATCTTCCTGCGGCATAGCGCCCTGCCCACCTGAACCCCTCCCTCACTGACATATTGTTTCCGCCAGAAACGCAACGTTTGTCGTTGTCTTCTTGACTTTCCTCACTCAATGCGTCGACTATCGCAAGATCCCGCAGAGCAAAGAGTTGTCGGAAGTCACCATTCCCCAGTGCACCCAGAAAATGGGCACCGTCTGGAACTTGGGGCTGTGGCTCTTCGCAGTATGGATTGTGTTTCGGGGCATCAGTCTCATATTGAGTCTCGGTCAACTGCGCCTTCTTCGAGAATTCTACACACACCTTCTCAACATACCCGAAGACGACATGCAATCTGTCTCGTGGCAAGATGTTGTTGCGAGGATGATGGCTCTGCGGGACTCACACCCCAAGACAGCTACCAACCTAACGGGGGTTCAGCGTGCCTGGGTCGGTAGTCAATCCAAGGAGCGGCTGGATGCGCATGACATATGCAACCGCATCATGAGGAGAGAGAACTTCCTCATTGCTCTCCTCAACAAGGACGTTCTCGATCTAACAATACCCCTTCCGTTCCTGAGGAAGAGGCAGCACATGTCGCAGTGCATAAAGTTCGCCATTGAATTCAGTATCCTGGATTTTGTCTTTGACGCCAATGGTCAGGTCAACGAGGAGTTCCTGAGGGCCGGGCGTCGCGGCCAGCTGAGCCAGAAGCTGCGGACACGCTTCGCATTCGCCGGATTCATGGTCCTTGTCAGCGCGCCCTTCATCGCACTGTATCTCATTGTAGTATACTTCCTCATGTATTTCCATGTGAGTTCTTGTGCATGCTTCCTGATTGAAAATTCATTCAGGACGGAGATACTGACCACATGACCCGCTTTGCCTGCAGGAATTCAGGAGCGATCCCTCGGCGATCGGTGCCAGGGCCTATACCTCCCTGGCGCTGTGGAAGTTCAGAGAGTTCAATGAGCTCGAGCACTTGTTCAATGCCCGTCTCAAAATGTCGCAGCCGTTTGCGAAGGTATACATCGACCAGTTCCCCAAACGGAAGACAGAGCAGGTGGCACGCACCATCTCATTCATTGCCGGTTCGATCGTTGCGGTGTTGGCGGTGGCAACGCTCTTCGACTCGGAGATGTTTCTCAGCTTCGAAATCACGCCAGACAGGACTGCCGTCTTCTACATTGGAGTTTTGGGAGCTGTCTGGGCCGCCGCTCGAGGAAACGTATCGGACGAGAACGAAGTCTATGATCCCGAGTACGCAATGAAGAGTGTCATCGGCTACACGCACTATGAGCCGGATCACTGGCAGGACCGGTTGCACAGCACCGACGTCAAGACCGAGTTCGCGGAGCTCTACAAGCCAAAACCACTGATATTCCTCGAAGAGATCATCAGCATTCTGCTGACGCCCCTAGTCCTACTGATCAGCCTCCCCAAGACGAGCGATCAGATCATCGATTTCTTCCGTGAATTTACAATTCACGTTGACGGCCTGGGATACGTCTGTTCTTTTGCTGTCTTTGACTTCAAGAAAGGCGTCGAGAACCAGAAGCAGCCGGCAGCTGACATGAGGGACGGCTACTACTCCACCAAGCATGGCAAGATGGCGGCATCCTTCTACGGCTTTTTGGATAATTACGTCATCAACCCCAAGACCGGCCTACCGGGCAGCCACCAACACGGTTCCCGGCATCAGTTCCAGCCGCATCCCTCATTCCCGGGTCTCTACTCGCCCACGCTGGCGGCTGACATGCAACAATCGCGTATCGCGGGCCGGGAGCGCGGTCGCGGAAGTGGGGGTCGGGCCCAGGCATCGGGGGTGCAGGCGGCGGCGAGGGCTCCTCATTTCAGGTCCGCCATGCCGCAGCCCTCACCGATGGCATCGGTACTTTTGGACCCGCACAATCAGCCCGCAGCTTCGGCTTTCGGCAACATGAGCTTGACCAGACCACGCCACCAACAGCGCGGTGGGTATCCTGGCGATCGCAACATCATACAAGAGGCCGCAGCCGAGGATGGACGGGAGGATTCTCAGGTGGGCAAACCCGGAGATGTGGATGTGTACGAAAGCGGCGGTGACCTGGACGAGTCGACATGGCAGACGTCGCCTACCAAGGCGCTGTCTAGGGAGAACAGTACCGCCAAGGGGCAGGAGCCCGATGTCGGAGTACTTGGGCTCATGTATGAGTTCCAGCAGGCCCGGATGAGGCGATGAGGTTTTGTTCCGGGGTGTTTATCTATTGTTCTTTTGCTCGGTTCCTTTTGCAACCTCAGATTCGGCATTTTTAGTGTCCGGGGCCGTGTTCGGAGTCTGTCTAGAGGTGTTCTGTTGATCCTTGTCACGAGCTTGCTGGAGGACTATACCTGGTGGCTAGCTTCCACAGGTATGTATCCAGGTGTGTAAATGGGTGCAAATTCACCCCCCAGTTTACCTTGGGTCGAAATTTATAGGAATATCCTCAACCTTGCACACAGATCGGTTTATCGCAACCACACTCAATGCTTGAAAACGATGGGCTACATCATGTCCAATGCAGTTCAGGAAGACATTCAGGGGTCCGCTTTAGCGGGACTTGGTGAATCGTGGGGTGCCGGGCTTTGCTTGCTGCCACAGTGAGGCTCCCGCTCAGGCGACCAGTGGGAGGCAGGCTGTGGGGCATCGCGCCGGCGCATGCAGGCACCGAAGGAGTCACGCTGCCAGGGCCCCACTTGAGTGTAGGCTAGCTGCTGGTGCCACAGCCCAGGCCAGACCGCGCGACTGGGCGCGCAGAGTGCCAGTGCATGGGCGGCACTGACGGGTTTTGCATGCATGCCCGACGCCCAGCTTTGATTCGACACTAGTCCACCCCCTCGGGCCCAGCCTGAGGTGAGCTTGTTCTGCTGGTAAGGTTGATAAAGCGCCGCCATCTTTGCTACAGACTCAGAGCTCCCAGCCAAGGCGCCACGCAAACCGCGGTGAAAGTGTCTGTCGGGCACAAGGCGATCGAGGAGCCGCTTTCAAACCCCTGGCTGCGACTCTCCAAAGCCTTCATCCCAACTCACCTCTTTATCTCTGGCTGCTACCGCCTGCGATTTTCTGCCCAAACATGAATGCGGAGCGCGCCACTTAGTCCTGCGCCTACGAACCTGCGCTAAGGCGCAATCCAACGACAGTCTTCTCAACGAGAGCCCTTCTGGATCGAGACATCGCTTTCTAACGTCGTAACCTAGCTCCTACTTTGCTAGCTTTTCCCAAACACACAGCTCGCGAAGCTACACCGCCCGCCCCGCCCCCCCTCCGTGCTCCGGCTTCTAGATCCCCGGCTCGCGCTCACCAGCCACGCTGCCGGGCTGCTACTCGTATCAAGTCTCGCTATCACGACCTCGCCCGTTCTGCCGACCGCTCCTGCACATGGAAGCCCCGCCACCCGCCAACGGCATGGGCGGCGGCGGTGGCCTCGGGGCCGCCGAGGCCGAGGCCGTGCCCAAGATCCATGACGCCCTGAACCTGATCTACAACCCGCAGTCTACAAACGAATCTCGCCGCGAGGCTCAGGATTTCCTAGAGGGCGTCAAGACGCTGAGCCAGTCGCCCTCGGTGGGCTTTAACCTGGCCGCTGTCAAGGCCAACTCGCCCATCGTCCGCCACTACGGCCTCTCGCTTCTCGAGCACGCCATAAAGCACAAATGGGCCGAATACTCGCCGGACCAGCTGGGCTACCTGCGCGGCTGGGTGTTGCAACTAGCTGAGGGCGTCGGGAGGGAGGACCAGCTCTACATCCGAAACAAGATTGCTCAGCTCTGGGTCGAGGTCGCAAAGCGGTGCTGGGGCCCGGACTGGCTGCAGATGGACGACCTCCTCGTGCGCCTGTGGAGCATCCCCGGTCCCACCGTTCACAAAGAGCTCGTCCTCTTTATCCTCGAGTCGCTGTCGGACGAGATCTTTGGCGGCGGCGACGACCCCGTGGTGGCCATGCGCGAGAACATCCTCAACAAGATCTGCGTCGACATCTTCACCCCCGTCGCTGTCCTGACTGAGCACTTTCCCACCAGGTCCGTCGTCCAGAACGTCAGGTCCGGTGAAGAGGGCTGGATTGTGCGCGTGTCCCTGCTGCTGGGTGACTGTCTCGGTGGTGATGTCCAGAACAACGAGGACATCCGCGCGTGCGCCACCAGAGCGCTCTCCACCCTCCATTCGGTCATGCCCTGGGCCATCCCCCAGGCCCTGTCAAGCTCCGGTTGCGTTGGGCTCATGTGCAACGCCCTAGCAGCGCCTCACGTTGCTGTGCAGAAGGCATGACCCCTTTTTCTCGTATCTCTCCATCTGGCCCCCCTTTACCCCACCACACTACCTCTGCTCACTATTCGCCATGACCATCCCACGCCACTGTTCCCTTCTGTGATGCTAACAGATGTATGTTTAAAATGTTGTAGGCTTCGCTCGAGGCTCTGCATGCTCTGTATGCCCGTACCAGCTTTGTCGACGATGATTTTGTGAACCTGGTTGTGCCCATGTATGACCCAAAGTTTGTCGACCTGGCCAGGAAACTCTTTGAGTGGTCGTCCGCGGTGGACCCGGAGGACATTGACGACGACAAGTACCAGTTTGCCAAGAAGTTTTCAGAAGTAAGCCGGCACCCCAATCTTGTGCCGCCCCCGAAGGCTATGTGATCAGAGAGATTCGCAAAGGGCAGCTGCATCAATGGCCGAGACGTGCTGACTCCCGGTTGCAGATGATCTCATGCTTAGGCAACTATCTCGACAGGAGAACCTCGAGTCTGCCCGAGGATATCCCTCTGCAGGGCTTCTTTGACTTCTTGGGCGAGGTCCTTGGGAGCCAGAGCTTGGTGGTATCGATCCCTGTTCTCGTCACCTGGACCAGGCTCCTGCACAACTCCAAGTTTGGGCCCACGATAGCTAGCACAGCCTTGCTTGGCCATCTGCTGAACGTTTGCAGCTCTCGGCTTATCCAATATGAAAGCCTACCCGAAGATACGAGAGACCCCACGTACCTTTTCCTGATAGAGGACACCGACACCCCTCCTGAGAGACACGCCTTCCTGGGCAACTACCGTCGGTATAGCTCCCAGGTCATTGAGAGCATCGTGCAGCTGAAGCTGGTTGATGCTTTCCAACACATACTCGGTCAGGCCGACGATGTGCTGAATAACCTCTATGCCGGAAAGGCCCTGGACGGTCAGTACATATCAAGGTGCTCGACATGAGCCGGGCCCTCATACCCCCTAGTGTTACGTCTAGTTACTGACAAGGCCTCGGGCGAAATGTAGTGGCGAGCTACAATAAAAACTCGATGGAGACTCTTAGCGTGGATGCGCGATTCACCGTCATTGAGTCGGCCCTCAAGGGCTACGTTAAGTGGCGACAAGGCGTAGACCCAGATTCCCAGGCGGATGTGAGACGGACTAGTGCCCTCATCAACCACCCAAGCAATGAAAGCAGTGCTGACTGACGGACGATGGACATTTGCAGCAACAACAAAAGTCGACGCTCGAGGAGAGCTTCGAGTCATGGTGCAACCGCCTACTAGAAAGGCAGATGGAGGTATGTCTGGGAGACGAAGAGCTCGGCTTTGCTCGAGCGTGTGTGATCTGACGCCATGACTTGTACTCGTCAGGATCCGGTGATCCGGAAGCGGACACTGCAGCTCCTGGTCGCATTTTCGACCACGGCACTGGACAAGAATGCAGGTTTTATGCTGAAGGTGCTAGAGCATATCCTTGTGACTTGGCCTGCTCCACAACCAGAACACAAGCTGTTGAACGAAGCCATCAAGGATCTGCAGTCAGAGAGCATGGTCGAGCTGCAGAGGTTGGCCTCAAAGATGCCTGACCATCTTCTGGACGTCTACGACCAGATCGCTGCCAAGGTCAATGAGATGATCTCTTCGGGGACACTGGACGAGAAGCGGCAGCTTGCCTACCAGTCGTTCCTGTTCATCATCATGTATGTGCTAGCGCTCTCCTTGTCTTTTGTACTCCGGGTGACAGTCTACTGACTTCCAATCAGCCATCGCGCCTCCAAGCTGGATCAGCAGTCCAGGATCTTGAGGCTAGAGCCGTTCATCAACCCAGTTAAGGCACTGTGGAACAACGAGGGCTTGCAGCAGGCTTTGTCGTCATATACCGGGTTCTGTGAGCTGATGGCTCTGGACAAGGCCCAGCAATACCTGGTCCGCAAAGAGGTTCACAAAATCGCCGACTGGGGCTCAGTCCAGCTGGATGCAGAGGGTCTGGCGCTGCAGGCAGAGCTAGAAGAGCGCCATGGGGTAAGAGACCCAAAGGCAACGCCTAAATGTTTTCTGCATTCTATTCAAAACACTAACGCATAACGCAGATGCTACCATTACGGCCAACCAAGACCTTCTTGACTTACTCGGTCGAGAAGCTCGACAAGCACACGCCGCCTTACGAGGCCTCTTGTGCTCTGTGGCAGGATGGGTTCCCCATCATCCTGCCGCATCTACTACAGCTTCTCAAACACGCACACGCCTGCCACAATCAGAACAACTGGGCCATGCTGCCGCAGGAGATGCAGTCCATCGTGGGGCGTGTACTCGCGGACAGGTTTTGGCAGGCAGGAATATCCGAGGGCAGCAAGGACGAGTTCTACGCTCGAGTCGTGGACAAGAAGTCCACCCTCGAGGGACTTGCCTCGTCGATCCGCGGGTCGGTGCGGTTCGTGCGCGACACGTGCTACGCCATTCTCTTCTGCATGAGCCGACTTGATGTCCAGTTCTACGGCTTCGAGGAGCTCCCCGGACCTCTCTCGTTGGCGCTCTTTGCGGACTCGGTGTGCTTGTCGACGCACCAAATAGTCAACCTCCTCAACTTGGTGCGGTATCTGGTGGATCACTGCCCGGTGCAGCTCCGGGGCCATTTCCTGCCTCCGCTGCTGGCAGCGTGTTTTCAGCAGATGGACACCAAGATCAACTCGGAGTGGGAAAAACTTGGGTTCCAGCAGGGCGTCCAGTCGGGTGGGGATGAGCTGACGGAGGAGATGAAGGCCGAGAGCATCCTGCGACAGCTGACATACACGGCGGTTGTCATGGTGGCTGATTTCCTGGATCCTCAGAGGACAAGTAAGTGCAGTTCTCGTGTTGCGGCGTGATCAGGGGCGCTGGCTAACTTGCTGCGGCACCGCAGATCCCGAAGCTTCTGGACCGTCAGCTCCGCATCCTCAGGCGTTCCCAACGCTCCGCAAGTTCTGTCTGATGCAGTCGGCAATAGTGGAGCCACTTCTCCTGTTCTGCGTGCACGCAATACGCATGCGCGACAGCAGGTGTTGCGGAGTGGTGCTGCGAGTCTTTCGCTACATTGTGCCCGAGTTCTCTACCTCGGAGCGTCGGGCGCAGGACAGCGGAAACGGCCCTTCGCCAGCGACTAAGGGACACGTCCCAGACGAGTTTCCGATCCCCCAAGAGACGGCCGGGGCGATCCGCGAGTTCGTCTCTTCCGAGGTGCTGATGGCGTGCATCACGTCGATGCATGAGCCATACTTTGTCGACCTGCAAAAGGAGCTTGCGGCTCTCATCGCGTCCATCCTGGCACACTACTGTGCGTTCACCGAGACGCCCAAGCGGGTGCTGCTCTCGCTGCCGGGGCTCAAGGAGGTCGACGTGGTCACGGCCATCGAGTACGTGTCGCGGCCAGGCCTCAACCCTCGGCAGCAGCGCGCCGTAGTGCTGGACCTCCTCAAGGATCTCAAGGGCGTCAGCGTGTCTGAGATGGGAAAGCTCAGCAGGGCCGGCGGATTCGGCGGCGAGTCGGGTCGCGGCGGCAAGAAGGCGGGCCGTTCCAAGATGGCGCAGGAGTTTATGACGGCGCCTGTGCTCGGGTCCAACGCTGGCGGCGTAGCAGGGCAAGGGGCAGCTCGAGGGAACAGCCCTGACCTGGAGGGTGTGGCCGGCCTGTTCAACGAACAACGCCAATAGGAGCTGGCTTGTATAGTAAATACTTGGCTGTCGCACGCGCGCTATCCTCCAGAAGCGTGATGCTGCGGATGGCAGCTTAGCTCCCGCCTCGAGCCATGCGCGCGGACTGCGGGTTCCGGGTCAGGCGCAGTGTTGGGGAAAGCAAGGCAACTTTGCAGAATTTATTGAGCCCCTTTTACGCCGCGTACATGTTGGTTTGACCTGGCTACAGGCCCCGCCGCGGTCTGCATTCGGCGATGAGTAGAAGTTGATATGTCCAGTTGGACCAAGCCGAGCACGGCGATCAAATAGAACTATGCACCCGAAACGCTGGGCTGACATGTCTGGAACCTTTTCTGTGTCCTTTTTTTTCTTGACGTCTCCCTTCCTGTTCCATTTCCTACCTGGTCTTCGTACACGATCTACTTCCCCTCTAAACCCAGCCCATCCCCAACCGCCGCCTTGCGCAGAAAGATGTCTCTCTCCTGGATGAACCGCCCCAGCTCAGACGCCGGCTCCGCAGCGGCCATCATGGCGAGGGCCTGGCCGACTGAGGCCCATGAGTGAGTGAGTCCGTCCTCGATCTCGACCTCGATCAGCTCCAGCCTCCCACCCTCATCGACCAGACGCGCGAGGTAGTAGTACGAGCTGGTGCAGGTCGCCACGGTACTCCTCGGAGGTCAACCGCGTGCCATAATGGCCTTGAAAACGAAAAAGCAGACAGCGACAGATGACCTACCATGGTCTTGGCCTTCAATTTCTTCCTAGTTGGTACTTGATTATGGTGCTTGTCTGCAAAAGTGCTAGGCAGCAGTGAGGCTGGGTTGCAGTGTTGGGACTCGACTGATAGGGCTCCTGCTTGTGTTTATATCTAAGCCCTCATGTTGGCCTTTGAACTTAGCTGCCAGGCCAGGCAGGATGTGCATTCACACAAGACGTACAAGGCACACCCGATGAGCCAATTAGGGTAGGGGTAGGATCTGAGACCTCGACTCCAGGCAGCGGTTCGTTAGGAGCGTAAGGACGGTTCAAAGACGCGCTCCATCATATCACGGCAAGAGAAAATAAGTAGATGTATAAATATCGCGAGGCCCGCAGCATCTTTTCGATGTAGCTAGGTAGGGCGGGACAAGGTACCCGCCAAACACATCGGAGATCCTTCCCGGTCCTCACCTGGGGAACGTGGAAAGCTCTGAGGATCCAGACACGCATAGGAGGCATGGCATCGCCACCCGCATCTCGCTACTCACCTTCAAGCCCGGCGCCTGGTCGCGGGACCCGGCGCCATCCGCCCGGGCGGCGGCCACGAGCTGTGCTTTGAGAAGGCGCGGGCCCTCGTCGTCGGCAAGAGGCCGCGCGTGCTGCCCAACGCCGGGTTCTGCAAGCAGCTCGCCGTCTGGAAGTCGGCGGGCTACAGCGTGTAGGAGGATTAGGGGAGGAGGGTCCCCAAGGAGTAGTACGCGCGGTAGCTGGCCGCTCGGCGGGCTGGGGTTCCTCCCGCTGCTGTTGTTTTTGATGCCGGGGGCACGATTCCCGGTCAAGGGGGACGGTAGGGGAACGGTGTCACGGCAGCAACTGGCACGTTGTATTTTCTTCTTCTTCTTTCCCCCTTCTTTCCCCCTTCCTTCTCCTTTTTTGTCATGTTTACCGACAGTCTTGGTAAGAGCTTCGTACTTTTATTTCCAAGCTGGGAGATTTCATAGTAGTGGCGAGTAACGATCCTTATCGTCCGTGAGATAATAACCGTATACCATGCACAAAATAGGGATCTGATGTTGCAGCCCTCCAGGGAAGGAAGGCCACCCTGACCAAGAAAGTGTTGAGGACATCTACCGTTCAGGTCAACGACGTCGACCCGGACCAGCTGTACCCCGCTGGCGAGCCGCGAGACGCGGCCGGTCGAAGCGCCGTGTAGGAAAACGAACCTGAAGTAGACCCCAGGGGCGCCGCCATCGACGATGCACGACAGCTACCACGGAGGATCGAATAACTACGCACCGAGGCTGTCGTGATTAGTCAAGGTAGTGCTCGTGCGGGTGAGATTGGGCAGATTTGACGGTCCCCCAAAATTATCATCTGGTGGAGCATTTTGGCCGAGCCCAAAGCCCAAAGCGACAAGGTTCTGTTTTTAGCCACCGGGGGGTTGGTGGACGTGGTCAGTTACAGTCAATCAAAAGCAATGGATATGGCCGGGTGATGGGCACGTCGACCACACCCTCCCCGTGCAAGGACTGCCCGTACCGTGCCTCCTGCTCTGCCTAACAGCAGCAAATGTGCCGAGAGTCAGAGAGACGTGCCATACACGACTGACAACACGATATAGCACAACACCAGTAAGTATCCATAGGACAGTGGCTGGCGACGACCGACCCCCGCCGTGGGGCCCGACTTCCTCGACCAGGCCGACCTCGGTCAGGCCGTTCGGTGTTCTTAAAGGGGATCATGGCCGTCCTGCCCGTCACATGATGAACGCGGCGATGGGTAGAGCGGAGCTGTGAGTGATTTGCGTTCCCTTTCCAACTGGCCTGGCTGCGGCCATTCCAAGGCGAGAGAGGCCCACCAAGGCGCAAAACGGTCGATGGGGCTGTTGGTGGCAGGTTGGGGCGAAGTCCAGAGTCCATTCTGGGCAAGTAGGTTTCAGCCTTGGGACCGACCCCTACCTACTCTAACCATGCCTGTCATAACGGTGTCGCAGGATCCGAACCCGAGGATGGGCAAGGGTTTAAGCACGGCAGGGCAAGCCTCGTTGGAGCAGCACGGCAGGCTGTGACGGAGGCGCAGGATAGATCGGGAAGCAAGCAAAGCAAGAAGCCAGGGGCTGCCCGTATTGGGGCAGCACCCGCAGAATAATCAACGGATCAGGGCATGCTGCATTGCTGTGCGAAGGGACCTCACCGAGTACCCACCCGGGCAAACACCTCGATGTGTGTGCCCTGAGAACAGTAGGTACTTAGTCGGCTGAGAAGAGGGGATCCGAGAGCAGAGACCTGCCTGATGGCACCCAAATATCGTATATACATAGCACTCCAGGCTGTGGGAGCAGTGTACGCTCAAGGAGCCAAGTTCGGATGACCTTGATTGATTGACTGATGGATGCCGCCTCCATGTCAGAATGCGACCACCCAGCTGCCGTGCCGCTGCCCCATCCAGCAAACCCTAACATGATAGAGCCCGGTCTGGGCGCTTGCCTGGCGGGGATGCTCATTGGCCGCGGCCCAGCATCAGCAAACCCTGTCACCCCACCAGCGCTGGCCACTTGGCTCACCCCGCACACCATCCCACCTCTTGGCACACAAGCTCCCGATATATCCCTCCCGCCGTCACCGCAACCCAACAAGAAGTTCCACAGGGATCGTGGCGCAGTTGGCTAGCGCGTAGGTCTCATACCCGTGGTCAGGGGTCAAAACCTGACAACGAAACAGTATGACCTGAACAAGGGCAATCCTAAGGTCGTGAGTTCGAGCCTCACCGATCCCAATCTTTTGCCGGCGACCGTGACGGTGGGGATGGTGCTTTTTAGTGTTTTGGGCGGGTGGGGGTGGTTAGTTAAGTGAGTGGAGTGAGTGAGTATGTCACGTGAAAAGTTCATCCATCCATGGCGTTCGAGCGAGCGTTCGATAGTTCGCGAGTTCGCTCCTCGCGTTCAATCTCGTCGATGCTGTCAGGCGGACCCAGACAGGCAAGCCAGTCAGATAGTCATACGCCACAGCGCCCGTGCGTACAGTCTAATCAGCTTGAGGCTAGCCGTCACATCGAAATCCGTCGCCTCGCATCGGCTGGTCTGGATGGGAGTGGCCAAGGAACGATTCCATCCCACCCGAAAAATCTCCAGTGCTGGGTGACGCTCACACTGTAACGTGACATGGTGCGACGGTGCAGCGGGGGGCGGGCACGAGCGGTGTCTGGTTCCTGCCTAGCGCAAGCTAGTGGCTGTCTCAGCGTGTTCGACTGTGTCAGAGCGCCGGTGCGCAATGACCTCCTGCCAACCCCATCCCCTGCCCCTCTCTTGCTTTTTTTTGTTTTGTTGGTCTCATCCCACCCAGCTTGTCCATCCTTTTTGATTGCATCCATCCGGGGTTGATGAACTGCCATTCGAGACCAGACACCAGCAGAAGCCCAGGCCACACACGTTGCGGATCCCACACACCTCCTGCCTGGAGAAAACACGCAAGTCGCCCGTCAATCGGCCTGGCATCTGGGGTAGAGGGGACGGAAGACCAAATCTGCTGCACCAACGGGCATTCCAGCAAACAAAACATATCCACCTCAGGCCGGATGAAGTGTGGTGCCATGCCATGCCATGCCATGCGCCGGATCTATACGCTGTACATACATAGGTAGTAGGTACCTGCGTTGGAAAGTAAGCACACTACGCAACATCGACCCAGTCAGAGCCAAGCCGGCACCAACCAGCCCAAAGCAAAAACCACAGGTGACCCCCGACGAGTGATGGCTCTGCGCCCTGCCCGGCTGTTACCTTGGCGTGTTGGCAAACTGGTTGCCCTGTACGCTCCGCGGCTCCCTTTCAGGGAGACGAATCGAGGCAATCCTGAGATATACCTAGTACCCTCTTAAGCCGGTTTAATTCAACAGGCACATTAGATGAGTAGGGATTGCAAAAGTTATTCTCACGCAGTGGCTTGATAATAGAGTTACCTCATCCGAAGCCCTTTTTCAGACCATTTGTTGAATTAAACCGGCTTGAGAGGGTATAAGCTGCCTTGTATTATTCCCTTCCCATGCCTAGGACTTGACCTCCTGTGTGAGCGATATTGAGCGGGTCTCCTTCCAGAGCATGGCCACACAGGCTGCGTGAAGCCTACCTAAACCGGATAGAGGCAGAATTCTCTTGGCTCGTGTCCGAGGTGACGACAAGGTGCTCTCTGGCCGGCCAGACTGTCTTGTGCGGCCCGCAGTAAAGCTGCAGGGTGTCCGGTGAGTTGAGTTCCTTCAGCTTCCCCTGCTAACGGCTAGTTGCTTCTTGGATCTCTGTCGCCTAGACATCGGTTTCCGTGCTATATCTACGCTAGGGTTGGTCTCCCATGTGATTTCGCAACTGGAAAAGATTACGCTCCACATAGAGCGCATCTCCTCTCAAGCACAATCGGCCGCTCTTGCACGACGTCTACTGAGAAATAAAAATGCCGGGGGTTAAACTAGCCATGTCCAAGTAAGGACGAGCGGCGGGCCACGCACGGCCAGGACGCCCTGCAAGGCACCCATGTTGGCCCACCTCACGTTTGACCCTAGTCCCGGCTGTGCTGCTGCCGGGAGAACCCCCGGCTTGCTCCTGCGTCCACCACATCCCACCCTCCGTGTTGCCCCATGGATAGGGCCAGCAAGACCCCTTTGTCGGCGGACGGCTTGAAGCTCTTCAGCACTCATGGCTTTCTTCTTCCGGAGCGCCCCAGACAGGCTTATCCTTGTCCTCCCCCTCGTCGTCGCTCAGCTTGTCTTCTAGGCGCCTAGCGAGGGTGAGCGCACACAGGCTCGCAAACAGATGATCGGTGGCTGGACTGGCTGGGCTGCTGCCAGCAACATTGGATGGTCCGACGCGGAGCGTGCACTCAAAACGCCCCCCCTCCCCCTCCTCTCAGTTTCCGATAGCAATAGACACCAACCAACTGTCCTCTCCTTCACTTTTAGCTCGTCCTGTCCCTATGTCTGTGCTCGACTGACACCCGTCTTGGTTGCCTTGCCTGCCCACCTGCCTGCCTGTGTGGTTTGGTTGCCACCACGCCCATTTTCTGCCAAGGGAAACGTTCAGCCAGTATTCATTCATATTGCGTCACGTATCGTTGCCCCGCCCGTTCCATTTCATATCCTCGCCTGTTCACCAAATCTTCCTGCAGAGGAGTGACGAACTTTGTTCGGCTACCGACACCGGCTCCTCCGGCGTGTGGTTCCACGCTCTCCCACTGCAACCTGTGCGGGAATCTCCACCCTCCCCTGTCCGCTGTTGTCCTTGTCCGCATCCCTGGTCTCCCGGGTGGAGCCCATCGCTCTCCTTCTCTCGTACCCATTCAAGCGACGCAGCACGGATCCTGCAGTGCTCGCTTGGCTGATGGAACCTCTCCAGCCGACACACCGCGCTACTTATCTACACCCGACGGCGCATCGATTTGAAACCTTCTTTCTGTCATCGCCATCTTCCTCTTGTGCTGTCACCCCAACCGGTCTGCTAAAGTTCCGAGAACCAAACTAAAAAAAAAAACCCCTACTTACACCACCCGGACTAGACGTCTGGAGCGCCACAATGGTGTACTGCGGAAAACCCTCGCGGGGCTGCCAGATGTGCAGGACCCGGCGCATCAAGGTACGGTGCCAAAAGGGCTGTTCTCGGCCTCGTCGATTGGAGATGTCGAGTTGGCTAGCCGGTTACCTGGCTAGCTGGTCCAATGAGGAGATGGAAGAATATCGGCAACTAACACAACCGCTCCCAATAGTGTGACGAGACCAAGCCGACTTGCAACCAATGTGCCAAGTCACGGCGGCAATGTCCTGGATACAAGGACGAATTCGACCTGGTCTTCCGCAACGAGACCAAGGCCACGGAGCGGAGGGCGCAAAAGGCCAACCGCAAGGCATTGGCCCAGAAGCAGGGCCCCCGCCCCGATGCGGAGGCCGACGGCCGGGGCAGCCAGGCTCTGGCCCACTCCCGGGACCCCTTCAGCAACCAGATATCGGTCATCGTCCCCAACCTTGCCATACCGCCTGAGCAGCACGCGACATGCCACTTCTTTGCAAACTTCGTCCTGGTCCCGCACCAGGACGGCTCTCGCGGCTTCATGGACTACCTCGTCCCAATGATGAAGAACGAGTCCAGCGACAGCCATCTGACGCACGCCTTCAACGCCTGCGCCCTTGCCTCGCTGGGTAACAAGGTCACGGCCAACGGCATCAACTTTGGAGAGCGTGCTCTGGGTGCCTACACAAAGGCCCTAGCTCAAACAAATGTTGCCCTCCGCGATCCAGAGGCCTCCAAAACCGACTCGATCCTGGCTGCTGTGCTGCTGCTTGGCCTGTTCGAGGTAAGGAAGAGGTGGTGGAAATCTGACCTGGCACGTGGCCGAGTCGTTGCTAACGCATAGTCCCTTTCGGCAAACAGAACATTACGGCAAAGCAAATGGGAATGTTTGCCTGGGGTTCCCACATCGAGGGCGCCGTTCAAATCGTCAAGGCTCGGGGCAGGAATCAACTGCGGAGCAAAATTGGCCTTCTGCTATGGATCGCTGTCAGAACTCAAATGGTAAGACAGAGTGAAGGGTGTATGAATTACACATGGATAGCACGACGAATGACTAACACTCCATGCCCCCGCCGCAGATTATCCACACACTCACCACTGGCAAGGCGCCAATATATGGGATCGAGTGGTGGATGGCTGATGCGGTCAAGTCGGCGGCGGCTGCGAGTTGCCAAAGCATCAACATCAAGGCCGGAGAGCTGCGGGCCGAGGTGACCAAGCTGATGACGACGCTGGCCCGGACGCCCGAGAACATCGAGCTCATGCTCGCGCTGATACGGCGCGCCCAGCTGATCGACCAGGAGGCCGTTACGTGGCTCAGGGACGTCCCGCCCGGCTGGCGCCACAAGACGGTGGCGTGGGAGGACAACGTGCCGGGCGGGGACTACTCCAAGGCCGAGGTGTTCCCGGGGCGCGTCGACATGTACCCGGACTTCTGGATAGCCAGCGTCACAAACATGTGCCGCACGTCGCGGCTCATCATGGCGTCCATCATCGTGCGGTGCGCCGCCTGGGTCTGCTCGCCCGTCGACTACCGCACCACGCCCGAGTACGCGACGGCGGCGCGCACGTCCGTCGACGTCATCACCGACATCATCGCCTCGGTGCCCTACCACCTCGGCTGGCACCTCAGTCGCAAGGACGTCATCGCGCGCCACGACCTCTCGGGCTTCGCCTGCGGCTCCGACGAGGTCGTCAAGGGCCTGTCGGGCTACTTCCTCACCTGGCCGCTCACGTGCGTCCATTCGCAGGACTATACCACTGACGCCCAGCGGGCCTGGGTCTGCGGCCGCCTCAAGTACATTGGCAACGAGCTGGGCGTGCGCTATGCTTTGATGCTTTCAGAGGTAAGCATTTCACC